AAAAGCCAAGTAAATATGTTAAAAAATCATATTATGAACTAAAACTACCTTATATGTATAGAGATATTCTCAGCACAAACCTAAAATTGAAACTCTGCGACTCTCTTATCTTGTCAAGGATTTCCTATGGAGATATAGCTAGTTTTCAAAAGAAAATTCTTGCGTAAAATTGAGCTACATTTCAGTTTACAATTTGCTGAATCAAATTGGTTGAATTTAAATGAACGGTTCATTCTCCATATCTGCTCTTTGATCAACAAAATCAATAAATATAAAATTCCGCGATACTTGCATAAAAAATCAATCAGGGGAAGTAATGTCCACGACAGATCAACCAGAAAAAATGATTTATACGTAATACCAAATCATAGAACAGCTCAGTTTCAGATATCATTCACATATATTGCCACAAAAATATTCGATGGGTTACCAAGTTTTATGAAAGATGCTTCGTTTATAATAGTTATTTATGTATAAAGGGCGTAAAGTAGGCGTTTATGGCCTGTGGCGTGAATTACACGCTGAAGGTCATAAACGCATTTTACGCACGGGATACATACAAAATTTTATGCACTAGTGTAGTGGTTTATTTGCCGAGTCACAAGTAATGACTAGATTTCAATTAAGTACAATTTATATGTAACCCGTAAACACAAATGAGAGAGAGAGAGAGAATATACTTTATTGTCATAAGAAAATATCTTGTTGACAAAGTTTCATTTAACCTATGAAGTCAGGTATATAAATATATGAAAAAGTATAAGTCGTAAAAAATACATTTGAAATAAACAGTTTCACTTACTAATTAAAGTCAGTTTGTGTGTATATATATAAAAACATGGATGTGTGGATGTAATTGACTTGGGAACAGCGGGCGGTAAAGTGAACTTTACGCTTGCAAATCTGGGCGATAAGGTGCACTTTACCGCCCGCACTGTCAAAATCCACCTAGTTGAAGTGCGCACTCATCTGTGAAGTTGCTATGTTACATAAGCCTGTGAAACTGTGAAAACACTAGCTGATAGCTAAGTTAAATATCTGTTCTGTTTTGCCACTATATTTTGTTCTTTTCTTCTGCTATTTTCAAGTTCAATTTCTAATTTTTTGTTCCGTTCAACATTTACGATGTTAATTTGAAATTGCACTTTTGTGGGTTGCACGAAAGAGCATCGATCTTGAATGTCGCCCCATTCACAATTAGTTCATAGTATCAGAGGTTTGCATGTATTAAAGACCCATCATAATTGTTATTATTATTACCTCTTGTGCTAGGACATGTAGACTCGAAAACTAGAACACATATAATGTTTCAGGATGGTGGATTAGTGCCAGACAAATTTTACACTGAATGCAAGAAATCATTCAGGTTTAAAATATTCTAGCAAGAAAGGGGTAGCATGTTTCGGTAGCCAGCCACGATCCCAGATCTAACTCGTTCAGAATTATCTTTATGATGTTCATTTAACGATACAGTCATCTAGAACCAACCAAATACTAGGAACGATATATTCCATAGAACCAAAGATGTTGTAGGAAGCATATTTAACCCGAAGTGTAAGCTGCAGTGTTATATACTCGACAGACTTTTCAGCAGATATTCGTTCAATGAAGTATGTTTCACTACTTAAAATTCATGAGAGGCCCAAAATATAAATGCTCCAATCAGAGGTTAGGTTTGTTTGCATTTCATTCCCACTTAGTAGAAAAATATATATTTCCAATTAAGTGGAGTTGAATATGATGTTCACAAAGTAGATATTGGATATGTATGTATTGTATGTGTTTATGAAAGAGAGAAACTCGTCAAATCCGGATGTATCTGCGAATAATTGATCCACCTAGTAGGAAAAATTGAACATATATGTATGCTTTGTTTTTGAGTGAGTATATCATATTTTGAATTCCGACTGTAACGGTTCACTTCTGGAAATACAATGCAACTGAATCCAATCTCGAAGTTGAGAGAGAATCTTTCAATTATAGACTGATTGAAATTATCATTTTCTGTGAAATACAGTGAGAAAACTTCCATGAATAACATTGGAAACGGAGCAATATTGATATAAGATACTCGACTGAAGATTTCAAACTGGAAAAATATCACAATGACACTAAACTTTCGATGAAATGCATGGAAACTTGAATGTAAACAAACATTCGATGTACTTTCCACTATTTACTTGAATATGCGCAAGAGGGCGTATCGTTAATTTTAAATCGCCTATAGGCACAGATAAAAAAATACACATATCGTATAGGTAGGTACTGACTGTGCAAGTAAGATCCGGCCCTGGCAAGCACGGCAAACCGTTGCCGGCGAGCAGCGAGTATCAATTAAAGGGCTACGCGTTTGTTTGAATGTTTTTTCCAAATTTTTTATGTTTCTATTTTCTCGAGGTCTTCTATACCTATACATGTTATGAATGAATTTCTCAAATGAATGGGTCTGAACAACTCTCAAAATTATTTGAATATTATGATTGAAATGATATTTGAGAGTATTTTGAAATTTTACGATTGAATAATGTAAGAATTGATATTCAAGTAGGCCGATTTTTGTTTATTTTTTATTTGTTGGTAGGTAATGTATTTGTACGAAAGCGCTGAACGGACATGATACTTTTTTTTATAATTGCCAGTTTGATCTGGCAATTAGGTATAATTGCCAGTTTGAACTGGCATTTAGCTATAATTGCCAGTTTGAGCTGGCAATTAGCCATAATTGCCAGTTTGAACTGGCAATTAGCCATAATTGCCAGTTTGAACTGGCATTCAGCCATAATTGCCAGTTTGAACTGGAATTATGGCTAATTGCCAGATCAATCTGGCAATTATGGCTAATTGCCAGATCAATCTGGCAATTATGGCTGATTGCCAGTTCAAACTGGCAATTATAGCTAAATGCCAGTTCAAACTGGCAATTATAAAAAAAAAGTATCATGTCCGTTCAGCGCTTTCGTATATTTGTCTTGGAAAAAAATAAAGAGGTGAACATTTTTTCAAAGCCTCCTTGATGGTGGTGGAATAACTAGAACCATGATTTATTCTTGATTTTTGACTCACTCTGTGTGTTAATTGAGTAATGGTATACGAAGTGCTCACACCCTATACGGAAGAGGCTTCTTTTGCGAGCATTTTGTTTTTTTTATTCATTGATTTATCTCTAAAATTTTCCGAATAACAGCTTTTTTCCAGATATCTTACGCTTATCCCACAAATTGAATTTATTGAAGGATCAGAGTACTCAAGATTGATTGGGTTGTACCCTGATAGAATCACATTGTCTTTAAAAAAACAAATGCGGTTGCCATAGCAACTAATTTGTTGTATGCCTCCATATTTGACCATTTGTCGTTGTGTCATCAATTAAGTGTCTTGTTTTATTGACTAAAATTACATAAAATGCCTCAAATAAATCCTGAACAAGTATCAAGATTGGTTGCGTTAGTAAACGATGGGCGTAGTTAACGTTACGCCGCTCGTGCAGTGGGAGTTCATGAAGCAACTGCTCGTAGAGCAATCCGCAAGTACGAACAAACAGGAAGCACCGCTCGGAGGGTCGGTTCTGGTCGCCCCCGAAAAACTTCTCCAAGAGATGATCGCTTCTTGAGATTGCGGATTTTACGGAATCAATCAAATACTGCGGTAAATGTTCAGCAAGATCTTCGGCAAATTCGTGATGTTGCAGTAAGTAAGCAGACGGTATGTAGACGTCTAAAAGGAGTTGATTTGAAAGCTAGGAGACCTGCAAAAGGTCCCAAATTATTTCCCGAACATCGTGCTGCTAGAAGAAATTTTGTTGAAAATTATGGACTGTGGAATATTCCTGAATGGTCGAATGTCTTGTTTACGGATGAGTTAAGATTTTGCCTTAACATGGTGGATGGAAGAAAAAGAGTGTGGAGAAGAACTAGTGAATGGTTTAATCAAAATTTAATAACAGAATGCGAAAGTTTTAATGTTGGGTCCATTATGGTGTGGGGAGGGATTTCAAAGAATGGAAAGACATTCCTTTATGTTTTTCCGGTGAGGCAGTCGATGAATGCCCAAATCTACATTGAAATTTCAGAGCAGTATGTCTTACCTTATGCAGAGTTAGTGGGCAATAATTTCATATTGATGCAGGATAATGCCCGACCACACACCGCAGCAATAGTGCGAAACTTCTTAGAAGCTACTGGTATTACCACATTACAATGGCCTGCGAGAAGCCCCGATATGAATCCTATAAAACATTTGTGGTATGAATTATGGAGAAGGGTACGTTCTCCGAAGAGGTCTCCGGAAAGTCTCGCAGAAATGGCAGATGCATTAGTGGAAGAATGGGATCGTATACCAATGGAAACGATAAGCAACTTAATTTCCAGTATGCCTCGTAGATTAAAAGTTCTTAAAGTTGCTAGAGGAGGCAATACACGGTATTAAGCAGTTATCCCAATTCATAATTTCGTGTTCAATATAATTTTGTTTCAAAATTATTGGTATCAGTTTATTTCATTAGAAAATTGTTTCTCGATAAATTCAGAAAGTTGGTAATATGCAAGGATCCAGCAAAAAAAGCTGTAATTCGGAAAATTTTAGAGATAAATCAATGAATAAAGAAACAAAATGCTCGCAAAAGAATCCTCTCTCGTATAGGGTGCAAGCACTTTCTATGCCATTACTCAATTAACACACAGGGTGAGTCAAAAATTTTGAATAAATCATGGTTCGAATTATTCCACCACCATCAAGGAGGCTTTGAAAAAATAATCACCTCTTTTTTTTTTCAAGACAAATGCATTACCTACCAACAAATTGAAAAAAATCGGCCTACTATTTTTTATTATTTTTTTAAGAAGATAGGTCAAATATCAAGTGCGTAACTTTTTTTGGAACTGAGTGTATATGTCAATCTTTCACAATGAGCAATAATATGATATATTGGACTCATTCGCGCGTGATGTCGATATCAAATAAGCAACTTTCAATCATCCACGAAATTTACTTTATCTACTCACCAACTTGAACTTTTTTCACGAAATTTAGTTCTGAAGTGATTAACGTTGGGTAACTATCAATTCTCTTGACATGTTTTGATATACTGATCTCAATGCTGATATTCAAAGTTCACCTGGTCTATTCCACATTACGTATTTTGTTTTCATTGTCCATAGTCTGTGTGCCAGCGATATACCGGATGGATAGTGATACCAATCGCTACAAATAGGAACTGAGTTGAACCTTATTCCACCATGAGTTGAACCATAGCTTACTGTTTCATTTCTAATTGAACTTGAGATTGGTATACTGGTAGTAGTCTAATCAATTGAATTTCGACATTGAAAGGTAACCTCATTTCAGTAATAAATGTTCAGAATTGTATATAATGCTATGCAATGTATTGATAACTATTATATGATTGTTAACCAATGAATAATAATATAAAAGCATAAAAAAATCTACTACGAACCCGTTATATTCAGTAGTAATACTATGAATACCTCATTGAAAAAATTCGAGTTATACATCGATAACTTGATGCATAGTTACAAAGAGTGTCAGTTTAACAGTTGAAACAATTCGACCGCGAAGCGGGAGGATTATTTTGTTAAATTGACAAGATTTGTGATTGTGTAGGTAGTTTCAGATGTATAACCCTGAAGATTTTGAAGTTCGAATTGTATATTCGATGCAATTATTTTTTGAGTAGTTCTTGACGAGCAGTAGAATTATTTTTATAATACTTTCATTTTTCACTTTGACATATGTTTCTCAAAAAAGAAATTGCCAATCCATTCGATAAAACCAACACACATGATTAAGAACTCACCTGAAGTCATTGAATGTATATCCAGACTCGATATTTTATATGTACTCAAAAATGCAGATTCCAAATACAAAGACCAGTATAATAAAACAAAAAAGGAATACAACCTCAAGTTGTTAGAAGGAAGGTCGAAAATGTATCATAATCGAATTTGTGAATCTGACAATAAGAACAAAACTACATGGAACATTGTCAATGGAATCAAAGGGTACCAAAATCAAGCAAACGAGATACAATAGTTAGGACAGCCTGATGAAATCGCTAATAGGATAAACGATTTCATGATAAATGTTCCACGTGAATTACTGAATCAGCTAAATGATATACCTTTCTCAACCAACATCAAATCATGTAACGAGTCTATATTCATCCAACCAGTGGACGAAAATGAAATCTTGGAATTAGTTAGGATAGTTTGAAAATAAGTCGAGTAGTGGTGATGATGAGATTCCTGTGAGTGTAATCAAATGTGTCATCTTAGATATCATAGAACCCATAACATTCATTGTAAACAACTCACTAAGACACGGTATTTATCCAGAAAATTTGAAATTGGCATTAGTGAAACCATTGTACAAGAAGGGAGATCCATCTGATATTGAAAATAATAGATCTATAAGTTTGCTGTCATCCTTTTAAAAATTTTTCGAAAAAGTCATGTGTAACAGATTGATGTCTTGGTTTCAAAGGAATGATTTTCTGACTTGCCATCAACACGGCTACCAAAAGAGAAAATCTACACAAACTGCAATTTTCGAATTCGTGCAGAATTCTATAGAAGCACTCGAAAATAAAGAACTTGTCCTAGGAACTTTTCTAGACTTGTCCAAGGAGTATGACTGCCTACATCATGATATACTACTATACAAATTGGACAAATATGGAGTCAGAGGACCTGCGCTTAGTTGGTTTAGGTCATATTTGTTGGAGAGAAAGCAAAGAGTAGTTATTAGAAAAGACAACAAAACAGTCAAATCAGATATTAATGAAATCTCGAACACTGGTGTTCCACAAGGCAGTATTATAGGCCCTCTACTTTTTATAATTCACATCAACGACCTGATAGAAAATCTTGATCCGAGCAAATGTTGCCTCACCAACTATGCAGATGACACAAACGTATTGGTCCGTGGTGAACTGTTTCCGGATTTGGTAATTAATGTTAATTATATTCTCAAAGTAACAAATGAGTGGTTTACAAGGAACAAACAAATTCTGAATAAAAGCAAAAAATTTTTTTTCTTTTTCACAACCATTCATCCCAGATCTGATATTCCAACACATTGAAATTGATTATCAAAATGTGAGCATGTCAGAATATGTGAAATTTCTAGGAATGCACATTGATACTGAATTAAGTTGGATGAATCACATCAATAATATCAGTGGAAAATTGAACTCCTCGGGTTATAGGATAAGAATTATTGCTGAATATATCAAGTACCATACACTTAAGATGGTTTACCATGCAAACGTAGAGTCAATCATGAGGTATGGTATCATATTCTATGGAAGTAGCAGGGCCGCAAACGCGATCTTCATAATCCAGAAGAGAATTCTCAGAATTCTCTGGAACTTGAAACCCGGAGATTCATGCAGGGGTTTATTCAGAAAAAATAAACTACTCACCTTTTATGCAATGTTCATTCAAGAGTGCCTATTATTCATTTTCAAAAATAAACGATTGTTTACAAATATGGAATCTCAGACAGAACATGATACCAGACACTCTAATTACACATATCCAACACACAGATTGCGATTAAGTGAGTCCAGTGCATTATACTCTTGTATTAGATTTTATAACAAACTCTCTAGTGACATCAAATCGATAAAATCATTAGCATAATTCAAGAAAACAATTTTTAAGTTGTTGGTTAACATCGAACCATATGATGAGACAGAGTTCATGAACTTTCGAATTAAATAATCTCGGAAATATTTGTAGAACTTACAAGTGACTATCATATTCTTTTGGTGACTATTTCTCCATTCAATCCTACTTTATGTGATCACGTTTATATATTGCAGTATTCCTTGAAATAATATTCATTTATTATTATTATTATTATTATTAAACAAACATCGAAATTTAACGAATAGGAACGAAGAAGAATAAGATGTTGAATTATACGTTACAAAAACTGAAGGTCAGAAAATAATGAAGGAAGCAATATGGTGAAGTAACGATTATAAGGAATGGAATATATACTGGTGAAGATTTTTACAATGTTGAAAATGGTGTGAGACATGTCTCGTTTGTTATGAAGGAAGCAATACCGTCATACATAACAAAAGAAGGATCAACATCGCTGATAACCTATCCTAATCAAACTCGAACGTTTCTGATCTGCAATTACCCAGGTCACGAAAGATGGGATTGCCCTAAACGCCCTATAAACAAAATCAACATGATAGGAAGACCAAATGCCCCTTATACTGCAGATCTACAAGATTGAACTCAAAACATAGCTGCAGAGCCGATAATAATAACTACTAATATCAGATGGAAAAAAACCACCAAAGGGGCAAGATCTAATACAACCGATAATTAATCTCGTCCAAAAGAGGAATCAATACGTTACTGCAGCCGCATCAAGTACTACTTATGCTGTAGTTGCTGAAAGTGAGTGCAATATAGACAGAAACGGCCTCAACATGGATAAAAGTGACATAGACGTACCGGAAATAGATGAGAACATTATGGAAGTGACATAATGTGCATAGGACCAAATAGAACAAAAGCAAAAAGAGAAGAGACTACAAGTAGCAAGCAACTCAGAGGAAAAGAAACTAAATGAAAACCATCCAACCTGAAACACATACGGAGTCAATCAGTTTGTGCAACGAGTAGGGGACGATTTGTGCGGAGGAAAGCAAGTAAACCAAAATGTAGATTCTGATGCTGATGATGATTTATTTCAATAAGATTGGAGTTCATCTCATTGAAATAAATCATCATCAGCATCAGAATCTACATTTTGGTTTACTTGCTTTCCTCCGCACACAGACCAATCACAGACGAATTCCTGGTTATATTCTACAGCTATTCTATGTATATAGGTTGAAAACGATTGCTTTCATAAACGTGAACAGCATGAAAGGCTCTGCTAAACAAGATTTGTTCGAATGATGTTATTAGAACATATGATATAGATATAGCATTCATCCAGGAATTGAATATTGAGTATATGGTATATATCGAAGGTGACTGTTTTATTAGCAGAATATAGCGCTGAGAGAGGAACAGGAATATTGTATAGGCAAGTAATCATATCATCGACAATAAATGAAATTGGATATGTTAATATCTACGCTCCATCTGAAAGGTCAAAAAGAGCTTACTGTGCATTTGAACTCCAATAATCCGTCGATATTTTAGGTGATTTCAATTGTGTCGTAAATTGAGTGCAATCGCGGAACCAGACAAACTTATGCAAAACTTCAACAGATCATACAAAAACTGAAGCTGTTAGACGCATGGACGCTCAAATATAGCAAAAAAATGAATACAGCTACATCCGAGACAATGAAGCGAGTAAAATTGATAGAATCTATTCATCAACATCCGATTCATAGGAATGAAATCAAGCCTGTGATTTGTTTCAGACCACAATGAGGTAATAGAACATTTGAATGATGACCCAAGTCATCCAGTACGATAAGTCATGGTTGGAGCTATTTGAAAGTCCAAAGATCTTGCTTGGTCGAAAATAATATTATTATATATCGTTTTTGATAATGAATAATCGGAGAAATTGAAGAGGAACCTATTGAACACGATTGATTTCATGAGAAAGTGGTTTGCACTCTTCAAAAGGGGAGCCAGGTATTCCTTCCGAAGCACTGAGATCAGAAATGCTATCAAATATAGGAAATTACTGGGATTCTATCAAAGTACCCTTTCAGAAGTGAATGAGCAAATGATCAAGGGAGATCGAGTCAGTTATGAATATCGTGAAATTGAATCCGCGATTCTCGATGTCAAACAGCGAAAATTAGCTAGTAGATTTCAGAGCACAAACAGAGACTCAACCAATGAAAGATATGGCTCATACGATATGATCAAACAACTGAGAAATAGAATTCTATTTGATTTTTTATAAAAACTGAAAACCAACGAACTTGGCCAAAACGATCGAGTGATATTCTAAAACACGCGAAACAAAATATTTTGCAGATAAGTTCAGGAAATCACAGCATCAATCATTCAAACAATGCGAATTTGACGAAAAAGATTTCGAAAGATGGAATTTTGAATATCCTGAAATAATGT